GACAATTCGAGAACTCTATTGTTCTCTTTGCAGTAGATTAATTAATTTGTTGCTATCGCCGTTAATTATCGAGGTACACGAGTCCCTTTACAACTCGTGCAGTTCGATAGCAGTCATATCCAGTCTCTCTGTGGTAATTTCGTGGTTTTCATCGCGAAATTGCCGCACGGAGCGATTCGCACGGTCGTACGTACATCGTTCGTCGTCGTACGTACATCGTCCGTTGCGTTTTAATTTTAGTGTTTGACTCTAGTTTATTAATTAGGTTACTTTCTAGTCATTAGTTTGTAAGTTATTTAAAATCTAGTCATTAATTGTAAGATACCTGATTAATAAACTAGTAGATTAAAGTAACACTTGACTCGCGAAAGCGTCATTTAAAGCTTGTATATTTATTAATTTATTTATTTATTTAGTTTTCTAGGGGAGTTTATTTATTTATTTGTCTGTCTATTTATTTATTTATTATTATTTTACACATCAGGATGACGAACCCCCGGCTGGAGTGCATATTAGTGAACAATGAAGTTCATGTTCCCTTCCCCTTCCCTGAAATATTTAAGTGCCCGTTTTGCTATAGGGAAGGGGCTGCTTTACAAAAAGGGTCGGGCGCGTATCAGAGGCACGAGGATCTTGGAAAGCACCTCCGCATAAGACATCAAGGCGTGACCCGGCGATTCGTGTGCAGCAGATGCGCCTTCACCGACGATAGCGCTTATGCGATAAAGAAGGTGAAGGCGCATTTCGCTGCCGCGCACCCGGGAAGTGCATCTCCTCGTGCCTCTGGGGCGCGCCCGTCTCCGATCGCGGGTAGTAGCAAGAACAAAGAAAAGGAGAAAGAAAGAGAAAAGGAAAATGAGAAGGAACTAGACGAAAGTAATAATAATAGTATAAATGAGAATCGAAACCCAGCCGGGGGGGATTCTGCCGAGCAATGACAACAATAATAATAGTATTAACGAAAATAGGAATCCAGCCGGGGGGGATATCACCGAGTCGCGATCGGTTAGATTAGACGAGGCAACTGCCGAATTGACGAGGGAGGCCCCCTCCCCGCTTACCGCTGGACAAACGACCACACTAGGAACCATGTCACGCCGTACGAACACAACGACAGCGACAAGCGCCCGGAGCACCGTGGCTGCTGGGAAGAAGCCGGTAAAGAAGAGCTTGACGGCAAGGTCGGCAACAACGAAGTCGGTAACGGGGAAAACTAACTTACTGACGAGCTGGGCCGTCGGTAACACGGGCAAGACGACGACGGCAGCGACATCCAGACGCAGCGGAACGCCGTCCAGTCCGCTAGATGGACGACCCTCGGCAGCGGCGAGCCCCATAACACCGTCGACCACACCGACATCGAGGAAAACAACCCCGAAAGAAGCAACTGGCAGGACCAGGGGCACGTCGACGGAGACCGGCGCCGCAAG